GCCACTGCACTCCAGTCTGGGCGACAGAGTGAGACTCCAACTAAAAAAAAAAAACAAAAACAAAAACAGTTGGGTGGGGTGGCTCAAGCCTGTAATCCCAGCACTTTGGGAGGCAGAGAGAGGATTGCCTGAGCTCAGGGGTTTGAGACCAGCCTAAGTATTATAGCGAGAGCTCGTCTCTACAATAAATCAAAAAATTAGCCGGGTATGGTGGCACATGCCTGTGGTTCCAGCTGCCTGGAAGGCTGAGGCGGAAGTATCACCTGAAGCCAAGTAAGTCAAGGCTGTGGTGGCTGTGAGCAGTGTACCACTGCACTCCAGCCGGGGTGACAGAGACTCCAGCTACAAAAAAAAAAAAAAAACACAAAAAATTAGCCAGGTGTGGTGGTAAGTGCCTGTAGTCCCAGCTACTTGGGAGGCTGAGGTGGAAGAACCGCCTGAGCCCAGTAGGCTGAGGCTGCAGGGGCCGTGGGCATGGCACTGCACTCCAGCCTGGGGACGGAGCGAGGCTCCAACTCAAAAAAAAAAAAAAAGAATAGGACAGTCCAACCTTTCAGCCCATAATCACTAAAATCCTTCAGACTCCCAGTTGAAGGTAAAAGGCTCAACCCCACTCTTCACCTGATCAAAAGTATAGAAATAATAAGACCACTCCTCCTGCCATCAGAGGCAGAGAGGGTAGCAGTTACCCGGGCTCCACCCTCATTAGCATATCAATAACTAGGCAGCTCTATGTAGCTTTTAGTTGAAAGCATAAGCAGTTTTTTTCAAGAAACTCACCCACGACAGATCTTTCTGCCATGAATCTTTCTTTTCTTCTCATTAATAAACTGTTTTAAAACTTTGCTGACCACTCTTAAATTCATTTTAGGGTTTAGTCAAAGAGCTCATGAGTTTTGCACCGCACTCCACCTGATATCATCCCTATTTTACAGATGAGAAAACCGAGGCTTTAAAAACTGAACATAGGCAGTTTTTCTTTTTTGACAAACTTGCCCATGGCAGGTCTTTCTGCCATGAATCTTCCTTTTTCCTTTTCTTACCAATAAACTGTTTTAAACTGGGCTCAGTGGCTCAGCCTGTAATCCCGCACCTTGGGAGGCTGAGGTGAGTGGACTGCCTGAGCCCGCGGGTTCGAGACCCGCCTGGGCAGGCGAGACCTCATCTCTACAATAAAATCAAAAAATCAGCCGGGCGTGGTAGTGCACACCTGTAGTTCCAGCTACTTGGAAGGCTGAGGCGGAAGGATCGCCGAAGCCCAGCAGGTCGAGGCTGCGGTGGCCGGGAGCGGCCACTGCACTCCAGTCTGGGCGAAAGAGTGAGACTCTAACTCAAAAAAAAAAAAAAAAAGTTTTAAAACTTAAAAAATATATATATAAACTGCTCAAGATTCATTAGTATCAGATACCATGTAACAATTTTGATACAATTAATCAAAATTAATGAATAGACTAATAGATATTACGTATTTCTTGTCAGATGACACAGCATTCGCTATTCCAAAAGATAAAGCGGTGAGTGGTGTCTTAGGGCTATCATCTCAGCAATTTGGGAGTCCAAGGCATGAAGACTGCTTGGGGGCCAGAAGTTTAAGATCAGCCTGGCAAAAAAGCAAGACTCTATC